AATGACAGACCTACATTTTTGAATGTGTTTATGGCCACGGTGTCCACGAAGCTGCTGGTGGACACGTCCAGGACCAGGCTGTGGGGGTCCGCCCCGCTGCTCCGCCCCTTTTCCTCCTCACTGCGGCCTGATATGTGGCTTATGATGTCATCGCCATGGCAACCTGTGTCCGAGTCCGAGTCCAACATGGTGGTCTCGTGTTGATAAGCCCAGTTAACCTTTCCGTCAGCAGGGTTTCCAGAAGTTTCTGTGGCGGTTTTTCTGCTTCCTTCGTTCAGCTCCGTCACTGGAACGCCGCCGTTGGCCTGGTGCCCCCCCCACTTTGTCTGCTAGAAGGAAAAGAAGGGACAGCCGTGATGGAGCAGCCCTGTCAGTCAGCAGCTCCTGGAGGAGTGCTCCGTGGTCGTACCTGTTTCTGCTTCTCCTTCTTCGCCTTCTTTTTCTCTTTTTCCAGGTCACGCTTCATCTGTTCGTTTCGTTTCTTCTTGGCACTCAGCAGTTTTCCAATTTCAATTCCACTCTGCACAAAAGACCGGGAAAAAGAAGAGGAGTGGAATAAACCGGCGCTGGGGTCGACAGACGAGGACAACCACCGACAGCCACCCACCTTCTCCGTCAGGGCCTCCATGTACATCTCTGCGTTCGTGTAGTACACGGTGGTCGATGAGCGGAATATTTTGATCCCTGGAATCTCTCTGGCCTGCAGGGACACAGAGGTCAGTGAACGTCACACCTGTGTCTGCTTCGTGTGGACGGTTTTGTAAAATGATAGTGTGATGTATGGTAGCTCCCTTCTCTGGCCTCTAGATGGAGCTAAAACACAATACTCAACATGGAACAGCGCTATCACAGAGCTAGAACCCCGCCTTTTTACAACCACGTGATTCGAAACAAATACTTAAATGTTTTTAAAATAAAAATCCGGGGAAACATGTTCACAACCAAATTAATTTCTGTGACCATATTGACGGAAATGGCTATGTCCGAGCCAGCAGCTGGGTCAGTGAACACAACCTATGATCACGTCAACGCGATTGGTTGACTGACAGATGTCCATCATGGCGACTGGTGGTCAGAGAGTAACAGCGCGGCTTTAATGAATAAAGTTAGTGAAGTTAGGCAGGTATAAAGATGCTACAGCGGAGCAGCTAAACGACAGACTGGAAACAGTCGTCGTCACAGGAGCACCGAGACGTCACAGTGACGTCACAGAGACGACAGCGAGAACGTGTTGGTGAGTGGATTCAAAGCAAACAAGTTCCAGGTCCGCACACTACGACTAGCCGTGCTAACATTTAAACACGAAGTTTGACTCTCCGGAGTTAACGTTGTTAATATCAACAACTTCCTTTTGACGAGTTATAATTCACGTTAGCGACTTCTGCAATTCGGTTTGTACAAAACATTTACGGATTGTCTCGCACACTCAACGCTGAACTTGATGAGAGATTTGTACAACTAAATTATGACTAACCCAAAGTCCAGTTAGAGACATCAACGACGTCATTTGACTAGTTTAAACCTGGTTTGAGATATCTTGAACTTGAGTTATGACTAGAGTTACAGACATATGTAACTTATGTTGTGGATAGCTGTAACTATGAAACCCATACAAATGAATGGGAACGGTGACGTCATCTGCCCCGGGAAGAATGTCCTTGTGGAAATCTAAAATGTTCTTTTTGACTAGAACTGAGTTGTAGTTAAAATCTGACGTACAGACTCAGACACTACACACACACACACACACACACACACACACTAACCCTGACACCTTGGTACTGGCGCTGCAGGGGGACTTGGGCTCCTACTAGTGGCACATGAAGGAATTGAATAAGGATTGGTTGAGTCAGTTAAAGTGTTGAGCATTCTCTAAAACTTTCTGTTTTTCCAGCCTGGAGGACGGAGCTGATCGTCACCTGATCTGGGTTTGAACTGACTGTACAGTTAAAACGGTATTTTAAAATAAAATAAGAACAACATACAGTGTTCCCTCAGTAGATCGCAGATTTTTTATCTTTTTTTTTTTATTTTTTAAATGTGGATTCTCCTCTTGAAATTGAGATAAGTCCATTTGCTAACGATCGCTGGTAGCTTTGTTTACTTAGACGAGATTGTACACAGCGTACTATTGGCTAATTGAGCATGTTCTTCTGTTCCTCACCCTGATTGGCTCATGCATCGTAGCATCTCTCAGTAGCTCCCCCTGTCTGTCGGCCACTCTCTCTGCATTATCATTCTACAACTCTACTGTGAATATATCAGTGTGGGGGGGGGGGTGATACAGTCTATGGAGGGGTGATACCAGTGTGGGGCAGGTTCGTGAAGGCTAAATATATACGTCAATAATATAAAAACTACTTGTCAGATTTTCACTTTTTGGTCTTGTCCAACACAGACTGCTGCTGTAGGAGAGAGACCACTGACGCAGTTACAACAGAACTACAGTTGAGCGTTTTATCAGTTCTCTGAACGAGGAGCTGTGGATGGAGCTCACATCCATCGTTGAGAACCTCTTACCCCCCTGTAGGTGGCAGTGTCCACGTACACCCCAGTCCCTGGCACATGACCCAACACAGAGTAACGAGGTCTACACAAAGGACAGAGATGATTGGAGGTTAGGTCACCGTCTTAGGTCCATAGGAATGGTCTACAGCAGCAGCTGCAGGTACCGTTGGGTTCTGAAGATGACCGTCAACATGGAGAAGGCGATGGAGACGGCCAGGCCCAGGTCCAGGTTGAGCAGGATGGTACATACGAAGGTCACCAGCCACACCAGCTGAGGGACAGAAGAGAGCCACCAATGAGAGGTTTCTGTAACGCTGATGTCACACTGACATCATCTTCAAGAGTCAGCTGACCAGGTCCACTCTGTTGGTCCTCCACAGCAGTGGGACGTCCATGAACTGTCTGAACATTCCCTTCAGGTTCACAAACACTATTGTGGACAGGACGGCCTGAGGCACACACACACACACACACACACACACACACACACCTGGTTATAAAGTGTGCCACAGAAGAGGATGTCTGTCAGTTAAACCGACCAATGAGGAGAGCGTTACCTTGGGGAGGTCTTCAAAGAGAGACCCAATTTTTAAAACTGTGATGAGCACGATGATGGAGGAAATCACTCCAGCAACCTGTCAAAACAACACACACACACACACACACACACACACATCAGTCAATACATGAACTCTATGTAGCTGTGAGATTCCAGGTGTTCTGGGGGTGTGTGGAGGGGGTGTGTGTGTGGGGGGGGGTGTTACCTGTGTCTTGCCCCCGGTGCTCTCCTGGACCAGGCTGCGTGACAGAGAGCAGGTGACAGAATAACACTGGAAGAAGCTGCTCACTGCGTTACTGAGGCCCAGGGCCACCAGCTCCTGGAGGAGAGAACCAGGTTCAGAACCAGCATAGACTGGGGGGGGGGGGGGGGGGCTTAGCCTCACCTGGTTGCTGTCCACTTTGTAGCCATATTTGAGGGCAAACGTTTTGCCCAGGGAGATGCTAATGGCGTAGCTCACGATTGCGATAGCGAAGGCGTCACCAATCACTGGTAAAAACCAGGTGCTTTCTGGGACCTGGGGAGCTTGAAGTCTGGAGCAGGAGAAGAAAAAGGTTCAATGTCATCCTGAGCATCAGAGCAGCAGAAGAAGAAGATGATGATGAAGAAGGAGGAGAAGAAGAAGATGATGAAGAGGAAGAAGATGAAGAAGGAGGAGAAGAAGAAGAAGAGAAGAAGATGAT